AAAAAATTGATGCAACTATACCCCGGAGCTAAATAGTTTGTGACGTCAAGAAACTTGAGACCCATAATACGAACCCGTCCTTTTAATCACCAACTTCAGCTGGGCAGTCTCCTCCAATGCGGGGTAGAGATACGACGTTGATGTCGTACCGCCCTGAAAACCAAACACCAACATCTTTTGTAGGCACTCCTCCAGCCTCTCCTTTGCATTTTCAGTTGGTGTTTCCTGTCCTTTCCCGGTGCTTGCTCGTTGTTAGTGTTTTCGATGATTTCATCTATCTGCTCGAAGACAGACTCAACCATTTCCATGAGATCGGTGTGTGCGGCATCACTAATTGAGAGTAAATGCTGCACCATGTCCTTGACTATAGTCCCGAATTACCGTCGTTTACAAAACATCGTGGCTACTCGTAACCTGGCACGTTAATGTCGACACTGACGCTCAGGAGCTCGTGGTGTTAGTCAGACGGTCAGTGAAGCTTGATGTACATGCTGGTAGGTGCATGGAAAGCAACACTCAAAGTCGTAAGTGGCCCAATATGGGAAAAAAATGCAAGTTTCTTTCCACATCTACCCCTCCGTCGCTAAGGTCATTGAAGATGGAAGTTGGGAGATGGAAACTACCTCCTGGAAAGTGGTGCTTGAAATCACACGTTGGTACGTGTCTCCTGTACAGTAGCTGAATGTTGTTATTGTCGGCTTGGACTCTGTAGCCCTCTGGAAAGTGGAGTAGATCATCTTTCATTGGAGCGGATTGGAGTGGTGATGGGCCGAGCTGAGGTTGACGAGATGGGGAGGCTTGAATCTGTCATGACAAATAATCATAAGTCACAAATCAGTCTCACAATTGTTCAACAATTCAACAAGATTTAACAAGAAGCCAATAAATCTGCTATGAACAATACAATTTGTATGTATCAATTAACTATTCTGGCTGTAAGGTTGACACGGTTCGGCACTTTTGACAAATGTTTTGAACACCTTCATACATCTGATCCGTGCGTGCAAATATATACAGTTGTCTCGCTCAAACCACAACAAAAATTAATGACAACACAATGGATTTATTCGATACATGAATCAACTAGTCCGTAAAACAAGAACATACGACCATCTCGAAGTGAAAGCAGAGTTCGTATTTTAAAAAGAAACGGTACCTACTTGCTCGTTGGCTTTGTTTTCCATGCGTATGATCTCATGTAACTGATTTTTGTCAGGATCAGGGGAACTCTGGGAAGAGCAGCCGGGTTGATCGTCAAAGTACTCATCGGCCGTACGATGCAGAGACGTACTCCAGGTCCCAGAATGAGGTCCCCCCAAGATTAGACCATTCATTGCACAGGATAAAGGTGTACGGATAAATGCTCTCCTGTGGTATAACGATGCACAGTCTAGTACGGGTCGTAATCGAAATTTATCGATTTTCTTCTGGAGGGTCGGTGCGGTGGTCAGCTCAGACGGCTGTAGAGGTTCTCAACAAAAGACGAAAGTTTGTTTGCTTGCTTGTCGACTTAAAGACGATCATCTTGCTTGTTTGGTTGTCTCAGAAACAAAATAAATATTGCTGCGCTATGGCTACAAACTTTGCGATGTTTTGACAACTATTAGGGAATTTTGAACCTTTCTTAATCACTTTACACATTGAAAAAAGCCAACTATAGGGTTTGCGTCGCCGACAGTGGAAGAATTTCAACTTCGTTTTCTTGAAATGTATCGTATTTTCAGTTTCAAGGTCATAAACAAAATATAAATCAAGAAAATCTAGTGTCCTTTTTCCATCTCCTGTTCTCCGCCTCACTTCACCACCACCTCCACCCAATCTCATTCATCCCCCACCTCATCCCAGCTCTCAACTCCGCCCAAATGCCACTTTAACTGGGTCAAACAACTTCACCACTGGTATACTTTCACTTTCTGTGCATTTTTTTAGGGAGTTCTAGGGGTTTTTTGGTGATTTTTCCGTCCAAAGATGATACCCCTAGTAATATAGGTTTTCCCGGCTTTTTTAAAACATTTTTCGTTCAAATTCACCGATTCTTATATTCAATTTCGTCCAGCAACATCGATTTACTGCACTTTCAATGTTTAAGTTCGTCTTTTGTCAGACAATTTCAAATTTAGTCCAAACAAATTCAAACAATGAGCACACGTTTTCGACCCGGTGTATTCGATTTCGTCTCGTCTCCGCCGAATCGTGTTATTCAAAAATCAAATTCGTTTAATTGATTTATATAAGACGAAGTTGATCTCCGAATGCTGCCATTCGGCAACAGCTTAGACGGATTTGATCTGTAATGACGAATATTCTCGACCCGATGACTAAAAATGGCGACCAAACTGAAAAATTGTATGGCAATTGACTAAATTGGTTTTGTTAAAAGCATTTGAAATTAATCTCGGACGAAATTGAATGTTAGAGTTGGTGAATCTGAATGGAAAATGTTTTAAATAGCCGGGAAAACACACTCTAAAAAGTCCCGGGTCAGATTTGACCCGGAAAAGGGTCATGTGGGGCCTTTTCCGGGTCAAAAATGACACTTTCACGGCTCAGAAATGACACTTTTACGAGTAAAAATTACCCGGAAAATGAGTCACCGTAAAGTGTAATTTTGACCCAGAAAAAAAGTGTCATTTTTGACCCGGAAAAGGGCCAGGCCCCACATGACCCGGAAAAGGGCCAGGCCCCACATGACCCTCATTCCGGGTCAAGTCTGACCCGGGACTTTTTAGAGTGTATAGTACATGTATTCCTCAACCCCTCTCTTGGATCTATGGTCCGCATCCCTAGAAGCTTACTTGGCCGGCGGATTTGGGGCCTACATTTGCTTACTGAATGGCAGTCATGTACGTACAATAACAAGAAACACATGCCCATTCGCGGCCATCCTGGGGAGACACATGCTCCGACATGTTTTCCTATGTTTGAGGATGTCAATGGCAGTGTGACCTCCCTCCAATAATATATTCCAACTCGCATAGATTTTATTTTACCAAAGTTACCACAGTTTTCGCAATATTGTTCTCGATTTCATAAGCCATACAGATATGCGTATTTCACCCAATGATTACTCATTCCGGATCCGCCCTAATCGACCGTAAACACAGATACACTTGCTCGAACAGCGCCCTCTTTCCGAATTTCTCAAGCCGGTGGTCGGTGGTCATGCTCACACATCATGTCAGAGAATTTAGAACCATTTGCCATGATCTTTTGTGCTCAAGCAGCTTCTGGTGAACATGCCATCACTCTTTTACTCACGAATACTCAAATTAGCATCAGTTTAAGCAAGCCATATCTAACATTTTCTGGGGGGAAACCGAGGATTTGAAATACCGGTAAATGAAATTACAAGAAGTAAATGTAAAAGTACCATTGATATCATTAGTTGAGTCTCGTTATCCTTGCGAGTGACGACGATAATAACCTGCGTCGGTCTTCTTGCCACCTCTGGACTTCTTGCCATCCGCCAATCTCATTAGCTTGCCTTTTATTTAATTACTCAACAAGGCTATCACGACTTTGGAATTTCAAAAAGAGTGGAGAAGCCGTGAGGCGAATTGAACTGCCCAGACCGAGTGTACTCGGCCTGTGTAGTTTTGCCAGTCGCCTCGCGGCTTGGCCACTAGTCACTTGGAGCAAGACCTTCTTCAGGGAATCCTGTTCGCCAACACCGTTCGCGTGTAGGTTCCCATCATTCGGAACCCTGTTTCTCGTGTTCATTCAACACGAGAACGGGGTTTAGAATACGCCCCTTATTTACATTAGTCACTAGTCAAATCCATTAGTGGTCAAATCTAGTAATTAGTCTGCCCCTCGACCAACGCTTAAGCATCGTTGGTATGCAATTACGTAATACCTTTGGTCTCCCCGCTTGCCACCCCCGCGTGCGGGAGATCCGAATTCAGTTGCGTCCAGGCTCCGTGACCGACTCACTTCGTCCTCATTCCTTTTCTGTAGCCAACTGCATGTATTTGTAAGTAGTTTCACTTTGATTTTTCATTCTGAATATTTAATTCACCTCAAGCATTTATCTTTAGTCAGAAGTGTTTGGCTTGAATCAGGGATAATTTAGTTTACGCCGAAATACTGAACATTCCTTAGGCCAAAAAATAAAAAAGTCTCCGGTTTCTGGTATGCGCGCACGTCGCCGTAGCCATGCGCGTCGGCAAAATGAAAAAGTTTTTTTCAATACAAGATGATGTCTCAAAACCGCCAAACTCACTGGTTCGACTGGAATTCTGCTGCTGCACAATTTTAACGTGTTTTTAGATGGGGTTATGATCGAGAATAAGCATTATGTGGCCTCTTTGGACTCCCATATATTTGCACTAAGTTTAGTCGGGCACCATTTGCAGTCATCAGTCGACATTTGAAGCCAAAAAAAAAAAAACCGGTAAAAAAAAAAAAAAAGCCGCGTCGCCGCACCACTTTTGGGGCAAGCTCCATACCAGAAACCGGAGACTTTTTTTTTTGGCCTTAGAGCCACCGCCCTTATTCTATAGGCTTTCACCCCGGTACATGTAAAATAGAAAGTATCGATTCTTATTTGGGTACTTATACGGTTATAGTATTATTAATAAATAGGGTTGTTTTATATCGCCGACCTATGTATCATTGTTGTATGTGTGTTAATTTAAAAACTTTACCCAAATCAAACAGCGCCCTCCTATTATGTCTGCCAGTCGAAAAGGCTAAAGCCCAAGTCACACATTCACGGTTTGGAGCTACGGATCTCCGCGGTTTATAATTCGTGATACACCGTGGGAGTACCGTATATATTCATCCTTAATACCTCCGTGGTTATCCGTCATCTCCCTTGGGTATTCGTGGAGGGGCTACGGAAGTTTTAAACTGTTCATAACTTCCGCGGTGAACCGTCATGAAAAATTATCAGTAGTCCAATTGTGGGACATCCGTAGGACAACCGTACTTATTCGTAGTGTTATTCGTGGCTATTCGTGCATATTCTTGGAGATTCGTAGCTCATTCGTGGTAGAAATAGCGAGGTTTCGATTACGCACGGTTAGCGGAACGACGACTTTTAGTGGCTCTGACGTCATCACTTTTTGTGCGTGCATGCGCAGTATGACTTTTACACAATCGGTACAGTCTGTAAATCGTCGTCAACACGAATAACAGCTCTGCTAAACGTAAGTGAAAACGGATAGTAAAAAGTCAGTAATTTTGTCTAAATTTCAAGCGAAAAGCACAAGTAATGAATCAGTCATATAGTTTAGAATGTCAGCATTTATGTTTGATTGGGTATGATGTGTTATCTGTATTTTGGTTGTGTATTTTTGTCTTGCAATGGAGGGATAAATTCTTCATGTAACGTTACGTTCAGCCTTGTTTAGCATTAAGTTAGTGCACGTAGCCCAGGCCTATGCGCTTGGCTACAGCTACAGTATAGTAGGGACTACACGTTTTTTTACTTAACTTAAGAAGGCCCAGCCATTTTTGTTCATGGTGTTACATTTTTTTACCTAGTGAAGCTGAGCTGACATTGACAAAATGCAAGAAGTTGCACGCTAAGGCCGAATGAAAAAAAATGTTTCTCGTCCGGGTTTTTGAAAAAAAAGGAAGAGGGGCTTTTTATTTTAATTTTTTTTCAAGATGGCCACCATTTTAAAATTTCTTGCAACCGTTGGTGTTTTCACAAAGACACTTTTTGAAATGCAAGACAAGTTGGACAAGAGAAGTGAACATAAGTTTACAGTGTCATTTAGTTATTTTGGTAGGCCCCTATTGGGATTTATTTTCCGATGAATTTGTGGACTTGTTCGGTGTTTTTTATTGCATTTTCCAAAAAAAAAAATAAGAAGAAAATCCAGGCGGCCTCCAAAAAGGAAGCGGGTGGGGACGAGAAACGTGGTTTTTTTTTTACTTCGCCTAATAAATCTTAAAAATTTGATTGAAAAAGAAAGAGTGAGAACTATGCCTCAGCTAGTGCTGCTGCTAGTGCTAGGCCTAGGGTAGTCCTAGTCTATGGCCCACACTGAGTAGACTCTACATGCTGGGTTGCCAATTTTTTTTTTTTAAGAGAAAAATTTCACCAGAAGAAAGCACGGGAAAGTCCTAATTTTGGGGGAATATTGAGAGGTACGGGTAAGTGAACCCACCCTTCAAGTATTAGTTGGAATGATTGCAATAAAATTGTCAGTTCTTTTTTATTTTCAAATCCTCAACTTTGGGAAACAATATCTGTATGGCCCAGCATGTAGAGTCTACTCAGTGCGGGCCATTGACTAGGGCTAGGCCTAGGGTAGGCAGGGCTACCTAATGTTAGGCCTATGTTTTGTAATCCAGAAATTTGTAAAACTTTTCCCAAAAACAAAACTTTCTTTTTAATTTTGTTTATTTGTTTTAATTCTTTCAGAATTGCAATGAAGACTGCTCGATTTTATCCCGGCCTGGACATTGTTCTCCTGAGGGAGGCGTTGGCACTTTCAAGTGAAGACGGCCAAGGACTTTCAAAGGAAGCATGGGAAGTAATCCACAAGAACATCAATGATGCCATCAAGGCCAAACATATTTATGTTACACTAAGGGCGTGCAGAGACAGATACCGACATCTTCAGGATTGTCATAGAAGAGCAGAAATGAGCTCTCTTAGGGCGTAAGTAGCTTTTTCATTTTTTTGAATCCAACTTTTTTTTTTTTTTAAATGTTTACAAAATTTATAACAATAGACCTTCATATCCATCATTTTCCCTGTACAAAGTGTTCAAATTTAGGGGCACTCTATAGATTTGAGTGCTCAATCTTGAGAATGACCCTGATGGTGTTCTTTGCAATGTGCGGAATTCGCACAATCTAGGATTTCCCTATTGAATACGAGCTGAGTGTCTGGTAATGTTCTAATCTTAAAACAATTACCATTCCAGCTCTGGTACAGATGAGGAATACGATGAAAGAATACAACTCCTAACAGAACTTGCCGACTTTGATGAGGAAAGGAAGTTGGCACAGATAAAAAGAAAGTCTGAAGAAGCTGAAAAAGAGAGGCAGGGTGTAATCATACGAGAAGTAGCGATGAAATCCCTATCTGCAACGAAGACCAGGAATGATGACATAACAGGTAATTTCCCGTGACCTTAAATATAATTTGAACATTATGTTGGATGGCATGGGTGGTGTAGTGCATAAAGCGTTCACCTCTCACCACTATTGGCCCATTTTCGATTCCCGGCTAGGCCATAATGTGAGTAGAGTTTTGCGTTGGTTCTCTCCTGTGCCACGAGGGTTGGCTCCGGGCCCTCCGATTCCTCCCCCCCTCCCCCCCCCCCCCCCCCCCCACCAGAAAAAAAAAACTTTCAATCTCTGGCGGAGCTCAGTGGTCATATAGAGGCCATGCCACACTAGGCAATTTATAGGCAACCACTCCTGGCGATCTCCAGGAAAAAAACATATTAACATTTAATTTTTACATAATTTACTTGGGGATAGCAAGATATATTTTTAGAAAAATGTACATGTATTTTGTACTATCGAGGTGTTCCCTTTTCTTGCAGTGCAGTTGGTTGCCTCAAGGCTGCCTGTAAATATTATCCCGAGTGACAAGGCCTTATGGGTCAATGTGGCTGACTGCCAAAAGTGCCCTCGCATGCCTGCAGCTCGACCACTTTGTAGCCGTGTCCTTCCCAATTCAGCTTCTCAGATGCCATTAAAAGATTAGCCTCCCAAATTGTTATTATCATATTTCCAGTCAAAAGGTTTTTTTAACTTTCTTGTTTTCCTATTAAATTACTGGTTTTAAACAAAGAATGAATATGTTTTATAAGGTTGTCAATTTGTTTTGTTATTTTATTTTTCTTCAGACCCGGAGCTGACCCCACCACAAAGGAAACGCCGAACTACAGCGTCGGACTCATATGTCAAGTACCTTGAAGACAAACTGGAATTTGAGCGAGAAAAGTTTGAGTTAGAAAAAAAGGAAAGAGAAGCCAGGCTGGAAAAAGACAACGAAATGATGAAACTGATGATGACTTTAATAAAGAAGTAAGGTTCCACAGATTTCAGGACACAACTGCTTTGAAATCAGGTTCTTAAACTAGTGTGTCAGTGATAGCAGCATTCCAGAATGTTATGCCTACACCGGATTGAATAGGCTACTCTGTTTTAATGTTCAAATTTTGAGGTTTTATCTTGCACGTTGCTGTTGTGTTGGAAGTCAGGTATTCCAGCTTGTACATTAATGGTTTTGCCCCCCAAAAATGCATTTGAGCCAGAGAGTGCCAAAGAAGATTCTGCCATAAATATGAAGAAAATAATCGTTTTATTATCCCATAAAAAGGACTCTGCACATTTTTAAAAGACCTTCTACGATAGCTGCAAACAAAACTTTGAAGAGAGGCTCTAAGGTCAAGTTCAGTTTTGTGATGCACTCTTTTTCCAATAGATAAGAGTCCTTATTAGTGAAAAAATTACAAGTCTCCAACCTTACTTTTAAGTGGTGTAAAATGTCATTTAATCCCATACCCTTTCAGAGCATAATTTGAAACGTGACTGTAACATTCCATACAAGATTTTTTCATTCTTCAAAAATTCAATTTAAACACAGACTTGACTGAATATTATGGGGATTCAGGGATGAAGTACATATTTCCCGAGCAAAAATATACAGACCTGTATATTTGAAATGTGACGTCACTGTTGTCTTTGGATGTTAAGCATTTTGCACTGGAAGAGTATAAAATAAAATGACATTTTACACCACTTTAACGTGCCTGTGATCTTTTTTACACTTTTTAATAAGGACTCTATTGGAAAATGAGTGCATCACAAAACTTAATTTGACAATGAGCCCCTCTTTAAAAAATGGCTGTAAGTTCAAGTTAAGTTTTGCCCTGGAATCATTTTTGATTGGGTCAATATGATGAAATGGTTTAAAGTGACAATTTTTTTTATTAACCTTCCAAGATCCAGTTTAAAATTTGTTAAAATTCAAAGACATGTTCACATTTGAAAATTATTCAAGCTGCCAGTAACATATGCTGTATGAACATGTACATGTACATGTTGGTTGATTTATGTACATTCTTAATTTTTGTTTATACATTGTATGATGCAAGTTCAGTATAAATGGTGTACATCTAAACCATTAGGCAAAGGTTGTAGGGGTAAGGTATTATTTGCAGACACTTTAATAATTGAAAGTGTTCATAAAACCCCAAAACGTATACTTTTTTTGCCTTCTCATTTGTAATTGGAACGAAAAACTTTTGCACCCCCCCCCCCCAACCACACACATTGTTGAATTCTGAAAACAAACAGAGCATACCCCCTAAAGATATTTCGAGAAGCCTGGTGAGACAACCCTTTACTTTGTACCCCCCCCCCCCCCCCCCCCCCCCCATCCAGGTGCGAGTTTTGGCGACCAGAAACATGTTTGTGCATTGGTCAATGGTTAAGCATTTTCGCGAGATTGGTTGAGTTGTGACTGTGAGGACGTAATTGTTCCCACCAAACTGTAACCAAGATATAGGCTTGGTTATGCCTGGTTTCAAAATGGGGGGGGGGGGAGCGTTAAAAGTTACGCTGGAATTTGTTGAGAAATCACTCAACAAATTGAATAATTGAACAATCTAATATTCACTTTAAAAAAATACATTTGCACAGTATACTATGAGAATGTTGTTGTTATAGATGATTGCATACGTCACGAATTGTTTCTGGTTACGGACTCGTTTTCGCGGACTAAAAACTTGTTTGTGATCACGAATGTTTACATCAGAAACATGTTTCTGTTCAGGGTTGCGAAAATACACCCCTGTTAAAATATTTAATTCACAAAGAAGGTTTGATATTTTTTGGGTTTCCAAAATTTTCTTGATTAATAAATCCCTGTTATGTGATTTTTGTCTTTCCTTCCACTAACATTTTGGTGTTATTAATAAACCATAATAATAATAATAATAATGTTTTTCTTTTCGCTTTGTATCTTGTGTGTCATAACACTACAAATATTGGATGCACATGAGTGCAACGTCGCAGATTCTAATCAGGAGTTGAAAGCTGGACTATTCCATTTCACGAATCACGAGGCGCAGCGAGTGAAATAGAAAAGCCAGATTTCACCAAGCGATAATATTCTGCTACATTGCACGAACAAAATACATTCAATATTTGTTTTATATAACTCACACATTTGATATTTTTTCACAATATTGACACAAACTAGACACGGAAACCCACACTCTGAAAATTCTACAAACACCCTCTAAACAACTTGAACGACTCCACACTGGACACCAACCTTGTCACTTGCAGCACGACCTTGTCTTATTTGGACAAATGGGCTGGGAACAAATATTTTGGAGACGACGCTGAAAACACGGGTTCAATGACCGCAAGCGTCCAATACTTATTTTAATATTGGACAGGCCTGTCCAATGTTGTTTTCGAACGATGCTACGCGCCGTGACGTGTCATGGTTATAAATACATAGTAAAGTAATGAATGACACGTGACATGTGTTCCACCAATCAAATGACAAGGATCTGTGTGTATGGTGTATAATATTAGTTATCACACAAGCAAGAGTGGAATAGGGGAAAATATACCTTAGTACTTTTACATCCCATATCCAACTCTGCCTTCAGCCTCCTTGGATATGAAATGACATGTAGATAGCACTATTTTTCCATATTCCACGAGCACACGTGATAATGAATTTATCTTCAAGCAAACTTGACAGGCAGATGGAGTGGAGTTAGAACAGCGCAATTAATATGCAGAGTGTGATAAGCCATCCAATTCTATATAAATATCATACTGTTGTTGCCATGGATTTATCAATCAGAATCAAGGATTCAAGTTTGCTTGAAGATAATTATATAGTAGGCTAACTAGAATGCCCAATGTTATAAAAATCACTAAATTCTTGCATATTCAGGACTCATAGAAAAGACGGTTATGTAAATGATAAAATCATGTTAAATAGTTCTCCAAGGAGGGTGGGTCCAACTGGAAGTAATTACTTGTCTGATTTCCATAGGCACAAGTATGGCAGTTAGTGAGAAGCCCGCCGACCAGGTAGTACTTTGCAACTGGGGATAATAGTACTTTCAAGTTCTTTCGAAAGTCAAGGAAGGCGAATAGTTTGATCATCTTTCCAAATTCCCACTCAACACATTCTCGGACTGATGACATTCTCGAGTTGAATTCTTGCTCCTCGGCTGTTACATTTGCCCCTTTGAATGGAGCTTGTAGATAACGTCTGAGTGGATACGCAGGATCCCCGTAAAGTGCAAATGGCAATCCATTTCTATCGGTCAGATTTCTTCTCTCAAATTCGTGTAGAAGTCCACTCATGCGAAGGAGAGCACTGTCATGTCTTCGCCCCTCTACTGGGCCGTACAGATGTACAATCAACCCACAAGGTAATACCACTGACTGGAACTTTAGGGCATGTATCCTTTTGTGCCCATTATAGCACACTCGCTGATGATGAGTTGGCCTACAAATTGGGCGAACTGTCCCATCTATAAATCCAAAGCAATTCTGCAAAGGTGCCCCTTTGTCATGAATAACATCCGCATAAATTTGTAGCTGTGCACGATCTAGCCATGGATTATCAAGGGATAGAAATCGATGGTGATGCAAATCATACAAAAGTTCAACGGTCTCATTGATAACCAGAGAAAGTGTGGATTTTGGCCTCCCGAACAACTCCTCCAAGTCAGATAGGCGATTTGGGTAAGCAAATCTTCTGAGTACCATGCAAAGAGCATCAAGACCACTGCAAGTGGACCCGTTCTTTAAAATTAGTTTCTCAGGAAGTCCAAGTAAATCTCGTAGCCGGTAAATGTCATCCTTCAAAAATCTGAACTTATCCAAGCACTGATTATTTGTAAGTGTCACTATATCAAACCTGGGCCACTCTGGATTGAATGTGACTCTCGTTGGTATCGGTGCATTGGCCAAGAGGAGGTACATCAAATCGTTATCTTCATTTTCAAGTGCAAAATCGAGTAGTCTCATGGGCGCTGCCATCTTGAAGAGTGCGCCCTCAACAGTTATCCTAAATGTAACCGTGAGGTCATAATCGAAACCCTTCTGCTTGTCGCGTCGGAACGACTGCGTACACGTTCGTGACGTGTAGCTAATTGTAGTCGTGCACACTAACCGTTCGCAATCGAAACCTACCTATTCTCTACGAATTCGCTACGAATGTCCTACGGATATGCCCGGATGTGCTAGGCCCAATCACAGACAACCGTGACGTTAACGTCTTTATTCTTAGTAATACCGTCGATATTCTTCAACAATCCGTCTATATTCTTGACCAACCGTGGTGTATTCGTAGAGAAACCTTAGGACAGTCGTGGCTGTCTGTCCTGAAACCATAGTGCATTCTTAAGAAAGTCGATTTCTCCACGAATCTCGACGGTTCATCGTTATTTCGGTTCATTCATTGATTTCGGTTCATTCATTGATTCTTGGCAAACCGTGGGTATTCGTAGCTCCAACCGTGATGTGTGGCTTGGGTTTAATGGTGTGTGCCCTATGTGCTCATAGACTGCACGCTGCGTTACCCACACACGTACACCCAGTGGCATTTTTTTTCTTCTCGAAATGTGGTGAAGAATCCTTAAAAAAAAATCCTGCATCCAATCCCCAAATCCGGATCACTTCCAAAATCTAATCGATTTGCACTTGTACCAAGGACCAACCCTAAAGATGTTTGCAAAGTTAAACCACAACGTTTGAAAGTTGAAGTAGGCCTACGACGTTTGAAAAGCTGACCCACGACGTTTGAAATTGAACCACGATGTTTGTAAACTGAAGTGCGACGTTTGAAAGTTGAACCACGACGTTTCAAAAGTTGAACCGCGACGTTTCAAAAGTTGAAAAACCGCGAAGTTCGCCTGTCCGTTTAAGAACACCATACATGCGCAATACAAGCGATGATTCGGTATTTTTTAACTTTTATTTCACAACACATCGGACGATTAATAAGCAAACACACCGCGATTAACGAGGGCAAAGAAATAGTGAGCTACAGTCACGATTGAGAGTTATGTACAATGTACATGTAATGAAAAGAATTCACATTGCATGTTGACAGAACACTGTCATTCGCAAAAAGGTGAACTTTATACATGATTGACGTCAGTGTGCGTCACGCTGTTTAATTTTGAAAATGATCACTTGATTTGTTGCCTTGGGGATTATCAAACAAATCTCAACGATGTGCGTCCTAAAACAGTCCAATTGCGCTACAAAACGCGCTTTGAACGAAATGATGTTAATCGGAAAGAACATGTAAAAGTAGGATATAAACATCCCGGCACAAAACTATCCTTTAAAACCTGGGCGTGTTTGTGTTATTCCTGTATTATGCGTGCGAGAACGACTTTCGGGGTCCACTTTTGCGACCCCAAAAAGTCGAGCTGTTTGGGTGCTAGCTGTGATTTCATCCGTAAAGTGTTCTCCTTTTGCGGACGTGTAAGAAACCACATTTAGTGCATTGGTGATTGGTCAACGCTGTTCGCGAGCACGGTGCTGTATAGACACACACAACGTGTATATCGTACATTGACCAAAACGACAGGGAAAACGTATTCGTACTCCGTCGTGTCCGATGAAAACAAACAAGATTTTCTCGTCTTTTCTCCGGGGACGGTAAGACATTACGTTGGTTTCCTTTCAACCAGATGTTTGAAATAGGATAAGTAAACGATCCAAAACATGACATTTTTGGGGATTTCAGGACCTAGTGCCCGGCTTTAAAGCAGATTTATTGTCAGTGGTGCTGCAACATATACAGCTTCCTGTCCATGTTTTCCGATTCATCCATTATGGTTCAAATGGCTTCTCTCATGAAAGTGTCCAAATCGTGTATTATTTCAATAAAGTCTGATGTTAGGCAATAAGACATCTACTTTATTGAGCTATAAACATAACCTTTAATATACATTTAGTCATCTTTTTCCGCATAAATACCAGTCAAATAAACCAACATATCGTAAGGCCTAACGCGTAATTTCTTCTTTGGGGGGGGGGGCGGGTTCAACTACGCCGCTAAAGAGCCATAACTTTTCCAGTTTGATGATTTAGATCGACGATTTCTAAAAGTTTGAGACCGCTAAATGGGGCTCAGGTGACTTCCACCTGACCAATCATGTGAGCATGAAATGCTCCGATTCTAACTAAACTAATGCTGTATTCAGCCTCAAGAAATCTGAAGACAATTTAATGTTGACCTCGCATTACATACTGATTAAGCGTTCTTAAATGTAAAATTCTCAGGGTTGAATAAGGCATTGTTATGTTTCCTTTTCAAAGAGCTACACTATATTTGTGGCTATTGTTTTACATTAAAGCAAATGGATTAGATAATTACTTTATTGTGTTGCATTTCTGTTGCCATGTCAGGGAAAAATGTATTACATGTATAATTAACATGGATTATATTCATATTTCACTTTACTTATCTTATACTCTGTGTATTCACGAGCAACACGTGATGAAATCCCAGGCGGAAAGTGTAGAAATCCATTTAAATTAAGCATTTGTTTCTATTCAAAACAATAGAAAGTCGAAGACAGATGAGTATTAATGTGAGTGTTACTACATAATACACAATAAATAAATGTCTACAACTATGAACACATTCAACCACCGAATTAAAAGGCAGAGCTTGTTAAACTAGTTAAAGAAACGTACAGCATAATGTTTAGCGTTATCGATAATCAGTTCAATCGTTGTGCATTCGTCCCATGCACACGGAAGTGTTAAACCCCGATCCCTTGTTTAAAATTAATGATATATCTCCAAATTGAACACACTCAAAATACATTAAGTCAACAAGCGGAATTTTTCCATGCGTTCACGACAGGCTTTCTTATAATCATTTGTGACACCTTCATCTACGACTTTGACGCAGATAGGCGCTGGCTGTACATTTTCTGGTAGTATGGCATGGAAGCGTCAACAAAAGGAAGGAGATCAGGAGAAAGAGAAGAGCGATCTGGAAGCGGCTTGGGCTTAAGAAAGCAGGTACTGTCCAGAGCGTTCTTGTAGAAACCTACCAACTGGTCCACTTGTACGTACAGACGAGGGATGATCCATTGTTCAATGACCGCATCCCCTGCCTCCCAGTTTAGAATCTTCTCATCAAAGGGCAAGCCGATGTCATTGAAGACTGCTGACAGGATACCTTTAGGATCTTTGAGAAGGTCATCGGCGTCGATGATGATTGCTTCAGGGTCGAGCTCCTTCTTCACGTGCTCAAACAACTCATAGACTTCCTTGTAGCCAAAACCTTTTGGGAAATATTTTTGAGGCAGGTCGTCCAAACGATAGTCATCTGCTAGAGACATATACGGCACTAATGGCAGGAACGACCTCTTCCAAGACGGGAAGACTTTAAGAGGATGACGAATGAGGAACAGGTGCCGGAAACCCTTCGGGATGGACTCCAGCCGGTCCATGACAGCATAGGCCATGTCTTTGGAGAAGATGAACTTCTTCCCAGTATGGGCTTCCTCGAGTTGCTCTTTGACACCTTGGAAGGTGCATTGAGATGCATCAACCCCTGCTGATATCCCATGGGCTTTTTCCCTCACAGCCAACAAAAACTTCTGTTCTTCTTCAGACATGTTAGCCATTTCATCCTCTGTCTTCACCCCCGGTGCAATGAAGATGCTTTCATACATTTCAAAGAAAACCTTTGTGTTTTCGACGAAGCTCAGACATTTGGAAAGAACTGTTGAAAGAGAGCGAGGAACAGTCCATATCAAGAGTCGGACCTGGTTTTCGGACGAGGGAGCCTTCTCAGAGGTTGCCATCTTCCTAAAAGACGAACGAAGAAAAAAAGACATTCGAACAGGTATGTGGGAGAGGTACGGGACCGAAACATCTTCGGACATAAAACAATAGAAACAAATTTTGAGGACATAACCTTTGGCACTCAGGTTGATTCGGAGGAAGGTTTGGAAATTGATTTTGAAAAGTTAAAGGATATTTCTGAAAATCTTGCTCTCCTTTTAACATCTCTGAGGGCAATTAACCGACGGCTTTTAGAGGAGGCGTGGCCTCCAGACCCAGAGCCGTATACATGTACATAGAGAGAGTTGCGCCAACTTCAGACTGTTGAACCATAATGGCCGTCCGTTATGTGTACAGAGCAGCGTGCGACTATTGTTTGGAATTATGTATGCAAAATCAGCCATTTTGGTACCAAACGGTGCGACCCTGATGTCACAACTCTCTCTGTATATATACGGCTCTGTCCAGACCCCGCCGCCAAAACTCTGAACACTTTTTTGCTGAAATGACAATGTACGCGTGTGGCGTTGGTTTGACTGCGTCGGGCATTAAAAAGATTTCCACAACGATTGACTGTCACAACGGAAGTACTGGCATACTTTGAATGACAAAGTTTTACCTAGTCAATCATAAACAGATCATACCTTGTTCTCCAAGTCTTTAAAACGAGCTTCCTTGACAACAAACTGATTTCAAACTACAGCAATTAAAGCGAATGAGATACCTCGGGAGCGACTGTCTGATACACCCAGGCTTTATGCATGTCTAAAGTTCACGACAAGTTCAACGATTAATTCGTTTTTATCGTGTGAACTTTGGATAGTTGACTTTTCGCAAAGTCATCACCTGATTAAACCTTTGACCTTTTGTCGACTTTTACCTCCCTATTCGTATGACTAACTGACAACAAAACGTATTGAATGCAAGTGCTGGATCATTCTGTGACAAGCACACTTTCTTCTTCATTTCGGTAGTATGGCGCGCATTAGTGACATTCAGGTTAAAACAGAAGCTTTTGTTATTTCAAGATACATGTACATGTATCGTTAATCATTGCAAGATACCTCTTAATTTTCGAAAATTTGAGATAAGGCCATGTATGTCGAAATATGGATTTCAAGATGTCTCTAAATTTACTTCCAGATAGCTCGAAATTCATTTTAAAATGCACCTTCGCGGGGACGATGAGCAGTGTTATGTGCACCATGAGTCTGGAAGGGAGGTCAGCCAAATGATTAGTTGAAGGACGCTGGGGCAGTGTTTTCAAACCCAAAAACTGAATGGAGGCAAGAGCAAAAAGTTTCACTTCTCAAACTGATATTTTTTTTTTTACAAACTGAATAACTGATCATGCAGTTTTATCAAAATAACAAAAATGACAATACGTCACCAGTATCGGGTACTACGAATAACATATTACAGAGTATGTCACAATTGTATAAGTTGACCTTTATTTATGTCTGGAATTCACAAACCACATGTACATGTACACGAACAAGCAGGTATCTGTATATCAGTCATAATGCACAAAATGTTTTACGTCGCACGTTCGCGCGTTCTGGTAAATTCCTATCATGTTACTTCACATGATTGTTATTGAACGTCGTCATAATCTTATAAACAGGATGAGTTAAAAAAAAAAAACATATGTCGGGACTATTGTTTTAGTGAAGTTCTGCATGTAGCACTTTCAAAGTCTAGGATATGAAAGCCCAATTCATATTTCTTTTTTTAGTACAAGAATCATTCAAACCACTGTGTACTTTTCAAGTTACGGAATGTTAAACACAACCACCGTTTTAAAGTTCGGTGTACGGATCACAAAAAGGTGTGCGTTCTTTTCAGCAAAACGAAAAAAAATCACATACATCCCTATGTCATTTGTTTGCGTTTTGCTGAAAGAACACTTCCCTTTTTTGTGATCCGTGGACAGAACTTTAAAAACGGTGGCTGTGTTTAAAATTCCGTAACATGATTGATTTGAACGATTCTTGAACTAAAAGAAAGCTTATGAATAGGGCTTTCATATCCTAGATTTTGAAAGTGCTAGGCTCACATGCAGAACTTCACTAAAACAATGGTCCCAACATTTGGGTTTCGTGGTTTTTTTTTCCTCGGCCTGTATAAATTTTAGACGAATTAGTCCATCTCAAATAAAAATGGGACTTAAGACGAAGTAAAAAAAAAAACATGTTTCTCGTCCCCACCCGCTTCCTTTTTGGAGGCCGCCTGGATTTTTTTATTATTTTTTATTTTTGAAAAATGCAGTAAAAGACACACCGAAAGAGTCCACAAATTCATCGGAAAATAAATTGTAGACCAATACAAGTCTAAATGACATTGTAAATATGTTTAGTTCTCTTGTCCAACTTATCTTTCATTTTAAAAGTGTCTTTGAACAGTGGAAACACCAACAATTGCAGGAAATTTTTTAATGGCGGCCATCTTGAAACAAATTTAAAAAAAAAGCCCCGCTTCCTCCTTTTTTTCGAAAAACCGGACGAGAAACATGATGGTTTTTTTTATTCGGCCCAACTTCAGATTGATTCTAAACATATAAAAGGGCTCTTGCCTCTCAGGGATTAGCTTAAAAATGGAAAGACCAATTGTGTTATGATGAATTATGCATAAATACTCAACAGGGGGCGCTATACATAACCGGAAATACATCGCGAAAACCGTGTTTATCAGTTTTGTAGAATAAATCGTTTTAGTTTGTCAAGGTTTGTAGGACCCTGGATCTGAAACCAGCGGTAGGAGATTCCTCAGTTTTTCTAGATGCAATTTGGTGCATTGAAATTGACATTGTTAGTGCCGTAGATTTTGAAGGTAAATTTGGAAAGTGAAATAGGCGGCCGTTCGCCACGGGGTGGGTTTTATTGCCGGTTATGGGACTACATGTACATGTAGTATAGTATACGAATATTATCGCAAGGTAAAATCTGGACTCTTCCATTTCACGAGGCGAAGCCGAGTGAACTGGAAAAGTCCAGATTTTACCGAGCGATAATATTCCTCCCATTTCATAATTTAAAGCCACTCAATATTTGTTTTATATAACTGACATATAGATCCTTGTCATTTGATATATTTGAACATTTTTTTCAATACAAAACTGGAAGAAAATGTATTTCTCTCTTCCAAACCACCCTTTCACGAAAATGTTTGAACCCAACGCTGTAGCGCTGGCTCTTTAGAACAATACGCGCTACGCGCAACGCTGAACGCGCACACCAGCATGCATTTGCACACAAATACCGCGTCATAATCCTAATTATAACACCTCACCCACAGATTCTGTGTCTTGATTGGTCGAGAGCGAGTCACATGATACTTTCTATTTTTGCTATCTTTCCGTGCACGGCCAAAAGTACTATACCCGTAGCAACCAAAGTACTGTGGGTTTGATTGTTATGTGGCAAAGTCGACTCACCTCTGGTGACTAATGTCTGCGCCCGTCTGTAGAACCTGGGCCTGCTGCGTGGTGTAGTCCGATGGTGGTGCACCGCGACTATGTCGGAACCGTGCGTTCCGTCGAACAACAGTTCGGCTTTATTTCCAGTGAATATGGCAATAATAACGTTCACAAAGACTAACAGTTATGTACATCTGACGAATGTACACAGAGGAAAACGATGAAAGCGGATGAAAACTTGATGAACGCAACGTAGTAACTTGACTGAACAGTGATAAAACCAAGATGGCGATATTTACATGTGCGTTTGTTTGTTGGAGTTTTTATGTCTCCATAGTGCAACGCACTTTGACCTTTGGCCACAGCAAAGGTATGGGCGGCCAAACGGACAAAATTAGAAAGTGTTTTACGTGTCGCTACAGTACTATACCATTAGCAACCAAAGTACTATTTCCACGGCGCGGTATTTGTGTGCGAAATGCATGCTGGTGTGCGCCTTGCGCGTTGCGCGCAGCGCGTTTTGTTTCAAAGAGAGCGCGCCACAGAGTTGGGTTCAAACATTTCGCGAAGGGGTAGTTTGGAAGAGAGAAATACATTTTCCACCAATTTTGTATTGAAATTGAAGTTTATTTTAAATGTGTTAAGATTTAAATAATTTAAAATATTATAACCAAGCAGAATCTGTGGGTGAAGTGTTATAAAACAAATATTGAATGCTTTATCTCGTGGTGAAGTAGAACTAGCCTCCCTCGGTGATCCATGGACCATATTCTATTTTCCCTCGGCTTCGCCTCGGGAAAATAGAATGGTCCATGGATCACCTCGGGAGGCTAGTTTTACTACACCACTCGAAGCATTCAATATTTGTATACTGTTGAATAGTATTTCTCATTCCCCATGGGCGGATAGTACTTTTTGAGCCGCGGCATGAATGGGAGCAATAACGAATGCCACGTGATGTGAGTTCCACCAATCAAATGACAAGGATCTGTATGTCGGTCGCTTGTATTTATACATGTATTTACAATGTATATGCATATCAAATGTAAGGAGTCACCTTTAGTTTATTAATACATGTATTCTTTCAAATATCTGTCACATATTTACATAACAATTTGTCTAATTAATAATTGTCTGTTCATGATTGTATTCTGACCGCCTGCACAATCTTTAACAGACTTGGGCAGGTCTAGGTCATTTTACCAGATAACAGCAATAAAGCCAGCCCCGGTTGGAGATCGAGAGAGATCCCAGCAAGAGCCTGCAGTGCCTACGTCAACCAGTGTTTATGATCTCCCCCGCGGCTCGGTTGCCCCCGTACAATGGGATGGATTAAGATGACAAGGATGTCCATGCCAAAAACATCCTTGAAATTGGTGGACGGTGTTGTTTCCTTTGCAGTATCCGGCCCCGGGTTTTCTGAATCGGCCTATATACTTGGTGCTCCTTGACGTTGAACTTATGCTGAATGTGAATACATGTACTTAGAGACTAGGCGACCCAGTCCATGCACTCAGCCGCCATGGTGCCCCATTTTGACTCTGAACCGGCGTGGAGTTCTGTTCGGCTTTTTTTCTGATGAATGTGTCGACGGGCATGTCCTGCATCATGGACCACAGGCATCCAAACCAACTACATGTACATGTACATGTACGTTCCGACAGAGTTTTGGCCTGCCACGGATGAGCGTCTCGCCTTTCTCGTGGCACCGATGGAATACTATAGCCTACACCGACTGGCTCCTACGATGTTTTCTCATTGGTGTAGTACATGATACCATACACTTTGACAATATTCGGCCACTGCAATGTCAGTGCCCTTTATTCGGCTATAGAAGTCCTCGTAGGGAGGAAATGCCGGATGGTCCAGTTATGAAGTCATCCACCCACTCGTATGGGGAAAAAAGTATTTGGTTTGGGGACAGTCGTACGCCTTCAAAAAATTGATGGACTATACCCGGAGCTAAACAGTTTGTGACGTCGAGAAACTTGAGACCCATAATACGAACCCGTCCTTTTAATCACCAACTTCAGCTGGGCAGTCTCCTCCAACGCGGGGTAGAGATACGACGTTGATGTCGTACCGCCCTGAAAACCAAACACCAACATCTTTTGTAGGCACTCCTCCAGCCTCTCCTTTGCATTTTCAGTTGGTGTTTCCTGTCCTTTCCCGGTGCTTGCTCGTTGTTAGTGTTTTCGATGATTTCATCTATCTGCTCGAAGACAGACTCAACCATTTCCATGAGATCGGTGTGTGCGGCATCACTAATTGAGAGTAAATGCTGCACCATGTCCTTGACTATAGTCCCGAATTACCGTCGTTTACAAAACAACGTGGCTACTCGTAACCTGGCACGTTAATGTCGATGTCACGCCCCAACTATCGCATCGGTCCCAACTATAGTTGGGACTGTCCCAACTATAGTGCGGCAGTTGGGTCGGCCCAACTATAGTTAGGACTGGAGTTGCGCCGGATGCTTCATGCTTGATAGATCTTGTTGGATTAAATGTTCCGCGGCGCTGGCACCGTGTATTCGTCGTGCATGCATGCCGCAAGGCTGGCCGGTCACGTGGTACTGCCTAGTTGGATGAGTTGTCCAGCTGCTGCTGGGTTTTATTGTCCAGCAACATTTTGCAAAATTCAAAGATTGCCATGGCCGGCCAACTATAGATGGGCCCCACCCATAGCTAATGTCAAAGGTCCCAAGTAAAGTCGGACAGTATGTAACAGAGCTGTAGGGAATGTTTTATAGTCGTACATCAATGTAAACTATAGTTGGGACCGCCAAATAAAAATATTGCGGTGGCCCAACTACAGATGGTCCCCACCCATAGATAATTTCATTGGTCCCAAGTAAAGTCAGATGTGTATTAGAGTTGTAGGGAATGTTTTATAATCGTACAACAATGTACACTATAGTTGGGACCGCAAAATAAAAAGATTGGAGTGGCCCAACTATAGATTCGCCCCATCAATAACTAATTTCAGTGGTCCCCAGTAAAGTCAGACGTGTATCAGAGCTGTAGGGAACGTTTTACAGTTGTACATCAATGTCAACTATAGTTGGGACACCGCAAAATAAAAAGATCGGAGTGGCCCAACTATAGATGGGCCAGCCCAACAGTGGAACTTACAGATGGGACCGTCCCAACTATAGTTGGGACAGGCCCAACTATAGTTGGGCCAGCCCAACTGTGGAACTACAGTTGGGACAGGCCCAACTATAGTTGGGAC